GCGAAAAATTTTTTTATTCTCTCTGTGTAACGTTCGCCGAATGTTACGGGAACGTTTCAGTAAAACGTTCTGAGAATGTTTGCTGAATGTTAGGAGAATGTTAGTCCTGAGCGAACTTTTAACATAACAAAAACGTTTTTCACTGTTACTGTTCTAACATTCACCGAACATTCTGAGAACGTTTTTATGCTACTTGGGATAATAGCAGTTTGACAACTAACCCCGTGTCACAACTAGCCCCGGTATCCCCTACATGTTTTTATGTTGAATATCATCTTAAACTATGTACTCCCTTCGAGGATGACTCCAAAAACGAATAAAAAATAATATTTATAATAAAATATAATAAAAGATTTAAATTTTCTTGTAATAAATTTAAATTTTTTCTTATTTTCCTTTCTTGCATTGGAAATCAATAAATTTCATAATTTTTTAATTTAATTAGTTTTATAATAAAAACATTGACTTTTTAGACAAAATAATTAAAAAGTATGTATGCCAATACGCTTACACAATATAATACAGTACAAATATAAAAAAAAATTCAAAAAAAATGAGATTTAAACCAGTAATACGCAGAGTAGTAGTCGAGTGCCTTACCCACTGAACCACGCCGCTTAGATGTCTAACTATCTTAACTTAACGGTATATTACGCGCACGGAAAACTTTAAATGCGTTTTTTTCGAGAACGCTTGAGAGGTGCGTTCTATTATTGCACCACGATGTAGTGGGAAGGTCCACCTACAATATGTATAAGACTCGTCCAAATCGGAGAGGAACATCTCTGAAGGTCCTCTTGTTAGCCATAATATTAAAGAAACCAATGATTCGGTTATCAAAATCGTTCTTGCAATATATTTTGAACTAATGGTATAATAGTGAAAGCAGTAAATATTGTAACTATTTAGAAGAAACATTCACGTACTATATTTGTGTTGTAAGCGTGTAGGCAGAGAGAGCTTTGTCCTTCCTCCTGCTCCTCCTTCGAAAAAACCACGTACTATTGGAAGTTAAAAAGAATGCACACTACCCATAAGCTATAACAGACGCGACAAGGGGAATCGTCTGTTTGCTCCACTTAATCCTCTCCACCAAGTAGGCCTTCAATAGTACACATTTTCGACATAAAGCGACATTTAATTGGAAGTCGACGTTGTTTTTTTAGGAGAGAAGCAGGAGGAGAGGCAAAGCCTTCTCTGCCTACACGCTTACAACATGGACACAAAGAACAACATAAAGAATGAAGTGTATCGTAAAATCGTAAAATAAATTTAACTGAAGAGTTTTGTGAATATCTCTGATACTAAAGCCGAGCGGCGGTCATATGTACAAAGACAAGTTGTTCAGAATGTTGAAAACATATTTCAAGCTCATCAAAATCGGTGAGGAAGCTCTTAATCTAAATAATTACCAGAATATATTTATTTATTTTGTAATAACACAAAAAAATACCAAAGGAAAAAGTTGTTTGATTCAGTAGGACAAATATTATGATATACAAAACATTTTTCTCAAGATTATATTTTTTAAGATTTCAAGATCATTGCTATTTTTTTAAAATAGAATGGCCAAATAATTTTATTAACGTAGTTAATAGTGTAATTTATAAAAATAACAAATTGAACTGTATAAGATTTTTTTATATTAAAATGATCTAAAACATAAAAAATCATATTCATTTTGGAAAAAATTGAATCAAATAAACACATTTTCAATATTTATTTATTTTTCGTATGTTTAAGGTGTAAGATAATTACCATTAAGAGGATGCTGAACGTCTTGTTTTACTGACATTTTGTAATTCAGAAATTTTTGTAAAAATTAGTAATCAAATTGAAAACCGCTTCTTCAGAACAAAAGAGAATATAGGAAAGAATTGCATAAAGCATAAAAATTCAAGAAAAACGAGTTTAACTTTTAGATACCCCACATATTTGACACTTGGTGATACCCTACCAGAGTCAAATTGCAACAAGTAATTTTCTTGGACTTACTACTGTGATCAAAAAGTAAGGTGAATTTGTTTATAAAATGTAAATTCTTTATTTATTCATCCAAATCAATTTCATCCTCTTCAAAGTAATCCCCCCCAGATACAATGCACTTATGCCAACGCTTTTTCCAGTCCTC